AGGACATCAAATTAAACAAAGAATACTAATTACTTTTATTCTTTTTTTTTTTTTCAGTACCAGGGATCGAACCACAACTGCCTGCTTGCAAGGCAGGCACTTATGCCACTGAGCCAAATCCCCAGGCCCTATTACTTTTATTCTTATACCATAAAAAGCCAGTAACTATCAGAATGTCTCTGACAACAGACAGAAATCAGAATATATTTTTTAGTATTTAAAAACCAAGGAGGACCCCATAACAGAGTATTTGTAATGCAGAGAAAACATTGTGTCAGCTCTCTAGGCACCAATGTTGTTATACAGAAAAAATACTTACATCTTAAGTACATAAATGTTTTTAAAATATTCAAAATATTTGAGAAGCATTCCAATAACAATGTGACAATATCCTAGTCTCTTCAATGTTTCTTATTGTTTGCTGTTGTCTAAAGCTTTTTATAATCTTTGAGGCTCTGGTATCTCTCCCTGAGCTTACAACTGAAAGTCATGATTACACTGGAATTTTAAGAGCAAAACTGTGTGTTCAAATCATTTACACATTTAGAGAAGATGGTTTAGCATCTTGCTACTCCGTATGCTCTATCCAGCTCATCAACATTATTTGGAAAATTTTTATAGAAGTAAATCGTGGGCTTTCCTCCAGAATCAAAATTCACACTTGAAAATCACTCAACGAAAATTCCAGTGAACATCAGTGCTATTCAGAACATCTGAGTGTTATTGGCGGGCAGAGAGCAAGGAACATGTAAGTGAAGAGATGAGGGCACATGACACCTCTGTCCTTGAAAAATGAGAATTTGATGAACATGTATGCAATTAAGACATCACCTAAGTACCCCAAGAGTTGTGTTCTCAACTTGCAGGAGCCAAATATCAAATCAAGATATATGCAAGGAATTTAAAACAGCTGGGAATAACAAGCATCTGGTAGGTAACTAACCCTACACACACTGGTAAAGATCTTTGTTTTAATAAGTGAGCAATTCAGGGACGTGGAAGGGTTTTCCAGGACAGCAGACACATGAGCAGATTTACAGTTAAGAAATATGATGACTCTGACAACATACAGGAAAATGGATGATTTGGGAGGAGGGAAACTCAGACAAGAGACCAGGAAAAGTTAGTGTATGTAAGCAGGGGTCACAAAGGTACTTTTTCCTCTTGCATTTTGAATTTCTTCTCCTTGAAAATGATGGTGGAAGAGTAAGACAATGGTAACACAGAAAAGATAATGAAGGCTTATTTATACCTTTCCAGAGGGTGGAAAGGATACTTGTATGTACTAAAAGCATAAATAACTTTTAAAAATATTATCCTGCTTTATAAAATGGAGATGTTAGTGACTCAGGATTCTGGAGTCCCTCCAATCATTCTAAATACCAATTACTAACCGTAAAGTCCTGTATTTATATATACGAGATATGGACCCAGTGTATAATTACTCAGTGAAAGGACATCAAATTAAAACAAAGAATACTAATGACTTTTATTCTTTTTTTTTTTTTTTATCAGTACCAGGGATCGAACTCACGACCAATTTGAATTCTGAGAGAGAGAAATAAGGCCTCCTAATATGCCTTATTTCTCTTTCTCAAAATTCAAATTTAGATAAATCTTGATAAAGGAGAAACAAGAGGAGCATTTGTTAGTTTTCATTTTACACTTAATTTGCTGTAGGAGTGAACACAGCAGAGGACCACATGGCCTCAACCACTTCTCAGTGTGCGGGATCCTGTGTAATTACAAAAAGGTGGTAAAAACCGTACCTGTAAAGTATTACCATGTCGTATAGTGACCCATCTAAAATATTAGAAAATCCCTGTCTTCTCTTAAAATAAGAAATAATATCTGACATTTCACTGTCAGCAGTAAACTAAGAGTAGCATAAATAGAGACAGTCCCCAACTTTAAATGGGGGTTGGCTTGGAAAAACATATTTTTCCAATGGTTATTTGGAACTCAGACACATGTCCTTCCAGAATTATGTGCATGGCAGGTATATATCCTAGCTACACCACAAAAGCCCATTTCATGGAACTTCAGTACTGTTACAAAGGCCTTTTGAGGTCATTTGGTCCAATCATTCACGGATAATTCTTTTGCTATCCTTTGCAAAGGCCACTAGAGCACATCCAGCAATAAGGAGCTTACGCCCTTTACTGCATCATCCCATGATTAGGCTCTATTTGTTGGATAGTTATTCTTTCTTTTGAAACATGATCTGCATCTCTGAGTGCCCTTCTTCAACAAAAGATGAACTACATCACACGTGACCTATCACTACTTCAACTCTCCCTTCCCAGGACCTCCTGGGCACCGGTGCTCTGAGTTAAGAGGACAGGGAAGCAGACGCCCACCTGGAGTCTAGAGGAGCCCATCCCTGCACAGCTATCTGAGACGAAAGACCCCTGTCAAGGAGCTATGAACAAATAATAAGATTTAATACATTTATAAGTGCTGAAAAATACAGTGTCTTCTGAGAGAAAAATGGCTAGAGTCCAAGCAGAACACCTGGAAAATCCTTCATCAACATTTCCAATAAGAGAAATATGAGTATTAGCCATAATCAGAGTCCCCTCCAAAATTTGAGGAGAAAGAAAAACACTGCTGATTCATCTATATCATTTTGTATTCTTGTCTCACTGCTTGTGAAATAAATATTCCTTAGCATACCAGGAAATTCCAACACCACAAACAGAAGTTCTCAAAGTGCAAGGCACAGACTGACAGCAGTTGTTACCATTAAGTTAGTAGCCAAAATTCTTCTCCCTGACATAAGTATGTGGCCCATTCTTTGAAATCTTCCTGAAATACAAAATTCTAGCTCTATCTTTTTTCCAAAAAGGGGGAGTTTTTAAAAAGTTATATTGTTTCATTTTTAAGCCAAAAATGTTACACTAGTGTGGGACTGGTAGTTACTCCTGCCAATTCTAAGAACTGTATAAGGCATTTATAAGCTGCCTTAAGTGTTTCTTTTCCCCTATTTTGAGTCTCTCTTTTCCCTTCTGAAAACAATAAAGAAATGAAAGCAGTTATCAGAGGATCTGACTCATGGAACTATGACTGAAGGTCCCCACATTACCTTCAACTCATTTTATGTACAAAGATGAAGTTATAGTTATTTTTCTAAGATACCCATTAGAATCTGATTTCCTAATAATTTAGAAAAAAATGTTGTTTCTTTTTTCACTCAGCGTGCCAATAAAGTGAAGTATTACAAATTTCAAAACACAAAGACTCTACAATAATGTAAAGCCATGAATTAATACTATTTATAACAGAGCAATCTCTCAGAGACTGGTCGGAACAGTCATCAACTGCAAGGGAGAGAGAGACTGAGAGAGAGCACTAGGGAGCCTTCAGAGGTGAAAGAAACACTAGTTGATCAGATAAAGACCCACAGGTGTGTGCATTATAAAAACAATTCATTTAGTTGTACACTTATGGGCGTGTATTTTATATTTTTCCTCCATTGGAAAAAAATGCAACACATTGCTTCCAGTGCCTTCTTATCTCAACTAGAAATTTAAGAAAACTTGAAAACACCAAGACTACAGCAGTTACACACTGTTACTAACTTCATGAGAATTCCTCATTCCTCACTTAGTACTTCAAAGTAACTTGCTTCTGAATCAAAATAGTACACTAACAGGGACAGGAGTTCATACTAACAGCAGCTAACATTTATAAAGCCTTTACCATTTGCCAAATGTTTTAATTTCATTATCTGATTGAGTCCCCATCACAGTGCAAGGGACACTGTCCACTTTATCCCCATTGTACTGATAAAGAACCCAAGGCTAGGTCAAGATCACTGCTCAAGTTCAAACAAATAACAAGAGGTGAGCTGGTCTACAAAAAACTGAAAATCAAGCTCTCTATCAACTTCTTAAGTTTTCTGCTTGCATTTTCATAATACGAAAATAAAAATCAAACACACAGATCCATGCAACAAAGCGTGAGCAGATGATATAACCTAAATCAACAATGTATTCAGTACATATGTGGTTCCTCTTTTTAAAAGGCAAACCACTAGCTCCCAAGAACTGAAGTTCCTACTTACATTCCAACTGACATACAGCAGAACAAAATATTCTAGAGAGTACTTTTCTTTTTTTCGATTACCTCCAGCCATAAAAACACCGCAGCACACACTAAAGCAGCTGATGTGTGAACCCAGATGGGCTAACCTCACTGTTTACCCAACTCAGCTGACAGTCCTTTCAATGGGGCTGTGCTAGTAGAAAACATGCCCAGGATTAAGATGAAAAAAATTAAACATATTCTTTCTAAACGGCTTCTTTTCCCTAAACACACGGAATTGTGAGAAAAATTGAGTACAGGACATGAGAAGAGGATGAAAAGAACTCTGTAGTATATACAACATGATTTTAGTCAGCAAAAAATATATCAAATTAACCGTCAAATATGTTACTGCCTTCTGCATTAGTTGGAAACTATTAGCACTGGATTCCACATTCTCAGATGAAAATCAGTTAACTATACCACCACACCATTTGGAACTGTTCTCTTTGAGAAGGACCCAAGAAACAATCTAGGTAATACTCTGAAAGGTTTCCAAAAACTATTTGGGGGAAGGAAGGAAGACTAGGAAAAAGAAAATACGTTAACATTTCTCAAAATTTTTACTCTAAAGATTTTACGGCATGATTTGGATTTTGGTGGCGCTGCTGGCAAGTTTACAAAGCAATCTCTCAAAAAATACTAGATACCTGCCAGAAGCCAAATGAAAAGCGAGATGTATGCTAAAGGAATTTAAGTTATGCAGCAATAATGTAACAAAAATACAATAAAACCATATCAAAACAAAAAACAAACTAAAATATCCCCATTTACATTAGCATTTCACCTCTGCAAAAGTCTGACTTGCTCTTGAAGCTTAAGAGTTATTGCATAATATATCAACTCCTATAGACAAGACCAAACTGCAACATAATTTTACATATTTATCAAAAGATCATTCAAAAAGTACTTACCAGGTCTTCAACGTGTATATGCTTGTGCTACAGAGTAAAAAGCAGACAAGTACCTTTCTCTTCTGACACTGGGGTTCACTTCAGTGCTAAACACATATCACCACAATCCTGCTTATAATTAAGTCTCCACTAGCAAATGTGCCTTTGAGCTGGGCTTTTCTCTTACAAGATAAGCTGTTAAGTCATGCCTTGATTTCAGATCTGCTAACATATGGAGCCTTCTGAAACAGCCTTCTCTCCACCTCCCACCTCCTCCCAATCACCACTGTGCTCCGCTCCACACACACACACACACACACACACACACACACACCCCACATCCACACATACAAAAAAAGGCACTGCAGGGCAGAAATTCCTCAGGTGCTCGCTAATGGAATTCCCAGGGTCTTGGAGCCGCTTCGGGGATCAAGAGATCTCATAGCCCCTGCTGGGGTAAGGAGCTGTGAGTCTGTTCCATTTAATCAAATACAGAATGAATTTTCAGCTCTATTCACTAGCCTGTCTCCAGGGCTCTCAAAAGGCACCAGGCAGCTAGAATCACACACATGTGGCTCTTTTAAGCAAGTATAATTAGTTTGATTTTAAAAAGCCACATTAATAATATCACCTCAGGACCATTATTCAGGGGACAGATGACAATGATACTGTATGTTTTAAACCCAACAATGGGAGGGAAAAAGCACTAACAATGAGAGAAAACCTGAAGGATTAAAAAAAAAAAAAAAAATAACACACCAGGTTTTCATTTCATTGTAACCCAGTGTCTTAAAAGTGACATTAAGTATATTCTATGGACTATCCCTTATTTTAATAGAAAACAATCGAATAAAGCCCTCCTTCCTATCCTCTTGTGAACCAGTGTACTCATGAAAAATACACAACAAAAATATATCACATAGAACTTTAATGTACAATGTAAAACTTAATTTCATAAGTTAATAAACTTCCTTGAAAAAAGTGCCAATCAAAATAACACTACAAAGCAAGTCCTTCAAAGCAGTATATTCACAACCAGATTCCAAATTCTGTTTTTAATTTAAGTAGCCTGCATTAAGTAGTAAGATCATTTCTCTGAAGACTACCTGGTGGGCAATTCACCTACACTTCTAATACATTATCTCTGCTCTACAGAGCACCCATGCTGATCATAGGGTGTTAGCTAATATAACTGCACACTAAACCAACAAATTTCCAGTTCATTATTTTTTTATTTCCTATCCCCTCCTTAACTTCCCTAATAGTTTATTCGTGAAATCATTTCCTTGTTTTACTTAGAAACAATCACCAATCTTTAAGATTCATGTTCACAAAAGAAACATTTTGGAAGAGTAAACTTTTACTTCAGTTTATATTTTACCAAAGCCACAAGTGAAATTGTCTAGAAGGGTGAAAGGATGCAGACAAAGTGGAAAAAATCACTGGGAAGCATGAGACCCAGCTATTAATTTTTACCTGACCTCTTCAGAGCAAATCCCTGTAACAGAAATTCCTTTTCCTGCCTTGTCTGTATGTATCTTGAGGAAGGGGTTGGGGGAGCCCTATCTTAAATGAACTTAATTCCTTTTATGAAAAGTCAAACCACCTGCAAAGAAGGCAAGGCACAAGACAGATTTAGAAGGCAATCTGCACAAGCTGAATCTGTATGCTCCAAATCCTAAGGGTTCTTTGTACTTCCCACTTGAGAGGCAGAGCTGTTTAAGTACTTTGCAGGGAAGAGGAGGTTGATGAGAACCACAGCAATCAATCAAAGCATCCCAAGTGAGTTCCTACACAAACAACAGCACAGTACTTCTAGCAAATGGTTTTCCTGGTTGACTATTCAAACAAAGACAGTTTTCCCAAATACTGTATCCGAGTTTTTGCATGAAAGTTAAACAACACACATTTGATTGCGTCTGTTTTATAGAAATATAAAGGTTTCCACTCTACGCGATGCCAAACGTATACCCAGAGCACGTCTTTACAAAATGAAACAGGTTTTCTCCAAACTTCTCATATAACTTAAGTATGCGGCAGTTTATTTCAACATGTGCATAACAGAGGCTACAGTCCTGGGTGCCTCTCTGGGTTCCTAAGAATTCTTTCCAGTTAAACACTAATTTTAAATCTCCAGGAATTTTCTGAAGATTTTCTAGAACCTTATCCCAAAACTACTGCACCCAACATTTCCATCTAAAAACAGACTATGGGGGTGAGGGACTACAAAAAGTAATAGACCATCTAGATTATACTAAAAATAACTCCACGTGCCCTGTGGCCCCCTCCCCACTTGTCCTCCCAGAGAACTCCTCAGGTGTGCCAAACGTCACTGGGAATCTAAAGGTTCTGGTATTAGAGAAGCAAGGAACCAGAATCAACCAACCTGGTTTCCTTCCTCTTTCCTGCCATTCCTACATAATCTCGCATTACGTTTTTCTTTCAACCTCCTGGTTTTCAAGGTGTGTGATACAGAGCACAAAGGCTAACCTTCTATTTACGAAGTTCACTACATGCCGGATCCCACCGCCCGCCTCGAGGGCACCTGCCACCCTTCGTGGTCCCCACCAGGAGAGCCAGGATGCTGTGGGAGAGCGAGAGCCTCCCAAGCTCTTCCACCTGACTTGGTGGGGCTGGGGAGAACAATGAAGGCGAGGGCAAGGGAGCCCATCTATTCCCGCAGTGATTTATCACTCAAATTCCTACATGCGGAGAGAAAGCAACAAAGGTCTGGAAGAGGCAGACTGAAATAAAGAGCGAGCTGAAACGTATTTAGCGAATGATAATGAAATCCACAGAAAGCCTTACAGAGAAGGCAAAATACGCTCCCTGGGGCTGGGAAGTCACCAAGGCTGTGCAGGCGGAGAAAGATACATTGTGCAGGGGATTTCTCCTGCTTCTCCGCGCACATAAATCACCGTCCCTCGGGGCGCTCCGCAGGGACGCACGACAGCGGCCAGAGCCCACTCCCTGGGGAAGCCCGCGGGCGCCCCGCCCCGTCGCACCCCACCTGCCCTGGCGGCCCCGCGTCACTGACACCTCACGCCGCCGCCGCCGCCGCCCACGAGGTGGCTCCGAGCGCTCAGGACGCGGAGCGACCGCGGCTCCCTCCCCACTGCGCCCCCGGGCAGCCTCCCTGCCGCTCCCCGCCGCCGCCTACGCGGCCCACGCCCGTCCCCCGCCCCGCCTGCCACGGGACCCCCGCCCCGCACCTCTCGGCGGGGCCGGCTAAGCCCCCAGACCTCCTGCGCGGCAGCCGGCTCGGAAAGCCACCCCCAGGTCATCCCCCCGCGCGCGGGCGGCGGCGGTGGCGGCAATCCGGACGGGCCCCTCCATGCACCAGGCCGGCGGCGGGGCGGGGGCGCTGGGGCGGGCGCGGGTCCCGGGTCTCCTCGCAACCAGCCGCGCGAGCCGGGCTCCCGGGCTCAGGGGAGGGGAGGGGGCGGAGCCCCTGGGCGCGCCCTCGCAGCCGCGCTCCTCCTCGTCGGGCGCGGAGACGCGCGAGCGGGCGCGCGCCAGGCTCGTGAGGAGCCGGTGAGGAGCGCGCGAGACGCGGAGAGCCAGAGAAGCGAGCGGCCTGACTGGCGGTGGAGGCCGCGCTCCCCGCGGCCCGCGCCCCGCCGCAGGGTGCGCGCGCAGCCTGCCAGATCAGCGGCCGCGCCGCGCCGGGCCGGGCCGTACCAAGGCGCCGGGGGAGGGTGCGCCCCGCGCTGGCGCCGCGGCGCGTTCCAGTCCGCTCGCTGCAGCGCAACGCCACGCCAGGCGAGTACCTCAGAGGCCCCGCCGCCGCGGAGGACAGGCGAGAACGAGTTGCCTCTGCAGAGCGCGGAGATGTGCGCGACGGCCGCACTCACTCTCCCCTCGCTTACTGTACTCTTCCCGGAGCGCGGCATCTCGGGCGTGTGCACGAGCCATCCGCACTTTCCTCGTGTTCCCGCCCCGCCCCACATCGGCCACGCCCCCGACCACGCCACGCCCCGCTCCCTGCGCTCTGCTAGTCCAGGCTCTCGTCTAGTGGCCGTGGCGACTTTCGCTGCCCACCTGGCAGCCGCGCGCCTGCCGCTGCGCCGCGATCCTGGCACCCGCCCGGCCGTCCTCTCCCGCTAGCGGGTCCGCGCTCCCGCAGAGAGGAGGGGCCGCCGAGCTCGGTGCACCCAGCTTGGCCTTTGGTCCCCAGTCTTCCCGACTTGTCCCTTGGACCTGCCCCGACGTATTTGATGGCCCTGGACTTTAGTGGTTCAAAACAGAAACGTGGTGGAGAACAGATAGGATACTTTGAAATTAGCAGGCACACGGCGGTCACCCCAGAATTGCAACTTTGTATAACTACATAATCAGTATTAGCAGTTCATTCTCGTGATCATGATCATTACTACTCATTATTTAACTACAGAAAGAGCCCCTAGCGACACTTGAAACTCACACTCAGTACTGAACTTAAGGAGAAATGCACCATTCTACCTTTCCTGCCCTAGCTTGATCCAGGGTCTTCGTGAGAGCACTTGCAGAGAAAAATTAGTATACAAGAGGCAAAAAAAAAAAACCAACCTCGAATTCTGGTTTGCCCTCCATTGTTCTTTTATTTTTTTAACTTATTGAAACACACAGTCCATATGTTATTAACAGGTATAATAAATGGTTCTTCATAAATGTGAAAAGTTTAACTGAAATGAGAGCTTTGTGCACGTGGACGTTCTTGAGCCCCGCCCCCTCGAGCTCTCTTAGAACGGCAGCCTCCCTAGGGGCAGCAGCTGCACCACAAAAACCAGCTTCTTCTCTTGGCACCAACAGTGACTTTGGCCACACCCCCCTACGTCCCCTCCCACCTAATTTACAGTGCCATCCAAACATCACTGTGCCTACTCACAAGGAAGCCTGAGAAGTAATCATATGTTTATTGATACTGATTATGGTCTTCTGGGTTGTCTGTAAAATGGAGAAGTCATTATAAAGTGGAGAAGTCATTTCCTTTACTGTAACCCTGCCCGGAGTTTGAGAGTAGTTCTTCCCCCCTCTTCCCCCAAAAAAGACTTCCCTAGAGAAATGTTAAAAGCATAAAAGAAAATAGCCAGAAAAAGGTGAAAAAGTAGAACCAGAGAGGAAAGGAGGAGAGATTGAAAGGAGGAAGGAAGGAATGAAAGAAGGGAGAGAAAAGAAAGAGAGGAAAAGTAATGTACAAAAAGAGGTGAAATTATCTCTGTTCACTAATGATGTGATATTATACATAGAAAACTCTGAAGACTCCACCAAAAAAAAAGACTGTAAGAAGTGATAAATTATTAAGTCTGGAAATTATAAAATTAACATACCAAAATAAGTAGCATTTCTCTACACTAACTATAAGCTGTCAGTAAAAGAAATTGAGAAAATTCATTGTTTAATACCATCCAAAAAATTAGAAATAAAATAACACAGTAAATTTAACTAGAGTGAAGATCTGTATGGTAAAAACCATTAAACATTGATGAAAACTAAAGAAAACACAAATAGATATTCCACATTCACATACTAGAAGGATTAATGTTAAAATTGTCATGCTACCTGAAACTTTCTATAGGTGTAGTGTAATTCAAATAAAAATTCCAATGTTAATTTTCAGAGAAATAGAGAAAAATCCTGTGGTTCCTACAGAACTAGAAAACTCCCTGAATAGCCAAAACAATCTTTTTTTAAATTTATTTTAAAGAGAAAAAAACAATAGAAACAATGATACAGAATTTCAAAACAAGATAATAGGAAACTAACAATGGTTAATATATTGCATTTTATCTTCAAAGTAGTTGCTCAGATAATCAAAACAATCTTAAGCAAAAAGGACAAACACGGAGGCTTCACACTTCCTGGTTTCAAAATATATTAAAGCTATTGTAATCAGAACCACATGGTACTGGCACAAAAACAGACTGTTGACCAATGGAACAGGATGGAAAGCCTAGAAACAAACGCAGGCGTTTATGGTCAATTGATTTTCAACAAAGGTGCCAAGAACACACAACAGAGAAACAACAGTCTCTTCAATAAATAGTACTGGAGAATCAGATACTCCCACACATAAGGACAAAATTGGACTCTTACCTCACACCATATGCAAAAATCCCCTCAAAGTGGATAAAGAATTAAAAGTAAAACTGAAAATACAAAGCTACTATAAGAAAAGAGGAAGAAAGGCTCCAAGACCTAGTCTGGGTGAAAATTTATTGGACAACATTCAAAAAATATAGGCAACAAAAGCAAAAATTAACAAATGGAATTATATGAAACCATAAAGTGTCTGCACAGCAAAGGAGATAACGGAATGAAGAATGAACTTATAGATTGGGAGAAAATGTCTATAAACCATAGAACTAAGAAGAGACTAATACCCAAAATATACAGGGAACTCAACTCAAACCCAAATAATGATTTTAAAATGAGCGAAGGATTTGAACAGGAATTTCTTACAACAGCTTTATGATAAAAGAGGTTTAACAAATTTACTTATCAGAGAATATAAAGTAAAATCACAATGAGATATCAACTACATCTGTTACAATGCCTCTTACCAAAAAGACAAATGACAACAATATTTGCAAGGATTGAAGAAAATGAACTTATACTCTGATGGTGCTCTTAGTGGGAATGTAAATTAGTACAATCATTATGAAAACCAGTGAGGAGGTTCCTCAAAAAACAAAAATAGAATTACTTTGTGATCCAGCAGTCTCACTCTGGCATTTGAAAGGGTTTGAAATTAGAGATAGCTGCACTCCATGATTGTTTTAGAATTATTCACAAAAGTCAAAATATGGAAATAACATATAGTACTTGTCCATCAATGCATAAGTGAGTAAGAAAATGTGATATATGTGCACAGTGAATTACAATACCACTGAGAAGAAAGGAAGGAAGGGAGGAAGAGGGAAGGAGAAGAGGGGAAGAGAGAGACAGACAGAGAGAAAGACAGAGAGAGAGGGCGAGAGAGAGAGAGAGATGCTGTCATTCCCAATCAGATGGACTGGGGGTCATTATGCTAAGTGGAATAAACCAAGGGTACAAAAACAAATCCCATATGATCTTATTTATGCATCTTTTTAAAAATCAATCTCATAGAAACAGAATAGAAAGTGGTCACCAGAGCCTTGGAAAGAGTGAAGGACAGGGATGGGAAGGAAAAGATGTTGATAAAGGAGTAAAAGGTTCCAGTTCGGATATGTAAATTCCAGGGATCTTTTGCATTGCATGCTAACCACGTTAATAGCAATGTATTGTGTGTTCCAAAATTTTCCAAAGAATAGATTTTTCTATGCCAGGCAGAAATCTAAACAAAACTGATTTCAAAAAAGAACAGAGTAGAACAGTGGTTACCAGAGACTCGGAAAAGGAAGACAAAGGAGGCTAGGAAAAAGCATGCCAAGCAATATGATCACAATTAAATTGAAGAAATAAATTCAGGTGTTCTATTGCACACTGGGTGACTTAACAATAAGGTGTATGTTTCAGCATAGTTAGAAAAGAGGTTTGAGGGTCTTACCACAAAAATAATAATGATACCATGACTTGATAAATATATAAAATGTACATATATTTTATATCCTATAAATATGTACAATTATAAATGATGAATTTTAAAAGAACAGATTTTTTAACATTCTCCAGACAAGAAAAAGTTATAAGCCGATGAAGTGATAGACACTTTAATTAACTTGATTAAATCTTTCTATAGTGAATATGCAGATCAAAACATCACATCATAGCCCATAAATATACACTATTATTTGTCAATTACAAATAAATTTCTGGAAGTGAATGATATCCACCTACACAATGGAATACCTTGTAACTGAAAAAAGATGCCAGAGAACTGCTGCAGAAAGGACTCTAACATATATTTTTAAATGGAAAAGAAAAAAATTGAAAAGAAAAGGAAGAGAGGGAGGAAGAAGGAAGAGATGTGCATGCAAGATGATGTACACAGGATTTGGGATAAACTAAGAATATATATTTGAATTTGTTGACATAAAGAACCCTTGGAGGGATACAAAGAATATCTTTAAACGATGACCTGTGGCAGAAGGTGGATCACAGAGCCAACTGAAACAAGTA